ATTTCTAAGCCATACTAGTTCAGTGTGTAATATCGTGCTTGACAGGTCTCAACACGGTTTTTATCTGCTAGTCCTCCTCTGTTTTGGTTCGCCTCCCACATTGTTGGTTCTGGCAGTGGCAAGAGATGGGGCCATTTCATATGGGCATATTGTGCAGCTTACATCTTTCTAGGCAGCTTGCTGTTCTCAAACTTCTACCCCTTCACTTAAAACCGCTTGACAGGAATCTCTTCTTCTCAAGTCGAGAGCTTTTCGTTGGTTAATATCTTCGTCCGTTTTTTCTTTTCCTTGGATCAGAAAACATGCCAACTTTGGAAGTGCCAAGGACTGAAGCATTGGGTTGCAGTAAATTTATTTTATTATAGTGTCTCATACTGCATAGGCACGAATGCACAGGGCTCTGGTGGGTACAAGTGAGACACAAATGACTACCACCCTTGTTCTTAGTGTTCTATGCAGATGTAATGCATAGCTAAATAATATTTTTGATTTGGAAGGTTCAATACAATTAAGTCTTGTGTAATAACATATACAAGTTTGGTCTATGTTTTCCTCTTCTACTATGTCTTCTTGACGATGTGATTAAAAAGATTAAACAACATATGGACATGAAATTTGATGTTAATTTCCAATAATTTGTAATGAATGTATTAAAATTTTAAAATTCCCAAGTATTCACTCTCTTTTTCATTCCAATTTTTGAAAATCATATGCGACTATACATTTTCACAATGTTGATCTATTTTTCATTCATACATTCAATTAATTTTTATCAAAATTTATTACAAATATATTTTTTAACAAAATCAAACATGCAATGTGCATAGAGTGGAATTGCAAAACTAATACTTTACATCAATGAGATAATGACTAGGTTTTCTTGGCCAAAAATGTTCGTGGGTTTAAAAAAAAAAATTTAATTTTTCGTAAACAAAAGAATGATGTTATTTGTAGTCGTTCACTATCGTAATCATTTTATGTGGCACACATGTAGTTAACGATTTGATACATGAAAGTAAAAATTATCACATTAATATTTTAAATCACTAACTGCCAAATAAATATCATGTAGAAGACTAAAGTAGCATTACTTTACATAAACCTCGTCAGTTGAAGATAGCGCTGCTTTATGGGTTCGGACCTTTCCAGTTCCACAGTAACCCAAAACGAAACCCTTCTCGTAGTATTAGTCCATCCTCCGTCTTCAATTTTCACGATCCCTTCTCTCATCTTTTCAGTCGTGCGTTATATATATAAATACGAATTTTAGATACATATATACGCATCCACAGGTATTAACTCATCTCCTTCAGCTACTATTTGTGTGGAAAAGCTGATTTTTTTTTTTTTTATTATTATTATTTTTTTGGTGGTGAATTTGGAAATTGGAAACTCAAGGAATTTTTGGCTGATGGCGACATATAGTATTTGGAGTATTAAGCATTCTGCTTTTGTATGTGTTTAATTTTCTACTTTTGGCGCGGAAAGGAAAATAACATTTTGATATGATGTACATATCAATGAACATTAAAGAATTGTTATGCCTGAAGCTCTTCATTCCTTCAAATTTTTAGGGCTAATTTGCATTTCAGTACACATTTCATCTGTTTTTACAATATAAAGACTTCTTGGATATACTCAATGAGCACATTGTCTTGAATGTACATGTTATTGCGGCTGCATCAAAGATTTCAACGCAATATGATACTCTATTAAAGCTTTATATATTTTGCTGCAGTGTCAAAACATTAATGTGATCTGAAATTAATAGTAAATAGGTAGTTTTCTGTTTCGAAGTTTTTGATCCTTCATTTACATCTGTTTCTGTTCTGATAACTGTATTTATGTAATGCTAATTAGGGTTGATTGTCAGTTCCAGTAATCTTTTACAAAATTGAAGTGATCATTGGGGCTTGCTTGGGGGCCATGATGGGCTCAGAGGTTGAGCAGGCTGCTAGCCATGTTCAAACTACTTTAACCACTCCATCTGCTGCATCGACGAGTGGCCCAAAGCTTTCTATGTTTTCAAGAAAATCTGGATTTGTTATACCGAAAAACAAATTGTCAGGTTCATTGGTTCCTGTGTTTCGAGGTGGTAAAAAGGGAGATAGCTATACAGTGAATGTAGAAGGCACTAAACCAGTTCAAAGAAAAACCAAATGGGGTCCTGATCTATCCATGGACACTATTGTTAGAAAAGGAAGAGCATTGGCGTATCAGGTACTTGAACTTTAATATCATCATTCTTCATCTTTAATAAATTTCTGTCTAAGATTCCCTCACCTCCCAATTGCAACTCTAGATGTGTGGGTAATCTTTGTTGGTCTTGTTATATTTCTTTAACTTTGTTATGTTGGTTTGAGGATTCACTTATCTAGTAGGAGTTCAAGTTCTTGAATGCACTTGCACCCTATATGTGGAATAATTTATTGCTTGGTCCAATTAAAGATTTTCCCTTTTGTGTCGAGTGAAAAAATGCCGGTGTCCTGTTTAATGGTTTGCATCAAATTTGTATTTAAGGGGCCAAATAAGTGATGATATTTCTGTCTTTGTGGTATTACAAATTTTGGGCAGACACGGGTTGTTCAAATAACACAACAGTTGAGTTTGGAGACTGAGGACTCATTATTGGCATCGCGATTTCAGGATAAGAAGTCTTCAACTTGTCAGCTCAATAATGAGGTGAGTTGACTTTAAGATACTTCTACTTTGGTCTTTAAACTGTCTTTAACATTCTTACTTTATGATACGTTATTTAGAAATCAGAGTTATTGGAACTTGAAAGGCGTGAAGCTATTGGTATGTACATTGCTGATTACTCTTTGGATTTTTGTGCTCTCTTTCCTTTATGGTTTTGTGGTGCAATTTATTTTTGTTTGTTTGTCAATTTTCAGGTGAGATACTAAAGTTAAATCCGAGCTTTAAGGCGCCTTCAGATTACAAACCTCTGCCGAAAGAGGCGAACGTTCCAATTCCCGTGAGTGAACATATTTACTAGCATTTAATCGTTTTCCTTTTGCTCTCTGATTCTGATATTATAATTATAATGAAGTTTGCCATAGTTGTTAAGGTTTTCTCATACCCTCGACAAGATTCTGCGGTGTTTAAAGAATTTTTTTATTTTTTTATCTTTTATCTTTTATTTTATTTTATTTTTTTTACACTGTAATAACTAATGAGCATCTGAATGAAAATCTGGAACTCTCTTTGTAAGTATTTCAGTGGAACTTCATAAGTGCCCATCTTGTAACAGTTTATCCTATGTTTTGTACAAGTTAAGATAATGGCTAACTTAAGAAACAATGAGTGTGTGTAATATATGTGAAATGGAGACAATATGCCTGAAGTAGAAATGATGACACTATATATCATATGAAGTTGATTCAAGGACGAGGAAGGGCAAAATAATGACTTGATGTTTTAGGGAGGGTATTATGGCTTGGTGTTCAGCTAATAATGCTTTTGTGTCCTTGTTGCTGAGATAACAAAACGCTTAAAACATCTCGTTATGTAGTAAATTTTTTTGTGACTTTTATTGCTCCTACTCTCTTTTCAAAATGTTTATCGAACAACTGGAGACTTGGAGTCATATCATCATTATTTCATTAGCAGTTACGAGCTTGAATTTTGAATGGGAGTATTAGCCTCCGTTTGCAATTTTATAAATGTTTTATAAAGATGAATAGTAGTGGGTCCCACGAAATGTGTGGATAATAATGAGTAGTACTTTGAATGTGATGTTGAAATTAATATTTGACTTTGACTAAATTTATAGACCATTTATAATTTTTTATCCAAACGGAGGCTTAGCCATCTCAAGAGCCTCTACATTTCCATCTTTGCAGATTAAAGAGTATCCTGACTACAATTTTATCAGTTTAGTGTTTGGCCCTGCGAGTGATACTCTAAAGCAACTGGAAAAGGTACATGTCCTTCAGTATTATGGGTTTCGATTCTTGAATTCATAAGCATGCAGTAATATGAACATAAAAATCAGGAAACAGGAGCAAAGATACGAGTATATGGCACGAGAACTGATACAGGAGGGAAGGTAATGCAGCTTTTAAAAATTATTATTATCTTTCATTATCTTATTTTGGTCATATTATTATTATTATTTGGGGTCCAATAAGCTGAAGCTATGGGTAGCACCCTCTTTCCAAAATTTCCTCCACATTGGACGTGGCTATCTGATTCCTTAACCACTAGGCCAACCTTTTGGTCTCATCTTTCATTAGACCATACATATTGAAGGAACTTCAATTGCTTGCTCAAATTGCAAACCACTTTTCATATATATACATTTTCTAGTAGTGTACAACACTTATTTTGTTCATCTGCTGTTATGTTGGTTCTGGCGGTTCATGCTATTTCTGTATCTAGCATCATATGCAATCTGATTTAATTTTCTTATTATGTCAATTTTAGGTTGAAGTTACTCCTAGCGACGGGAAGGAAACACACGGTGCTTATGAGGAGTTGTATATTCATGTATCAGCTGACACATATGAAAAAGTTGATGCTGCAGTGGCTTTGATCGAACTGTTAGTCAACCCAATTTCGGTATATTCAAATCCTGTAAACACCAAATGTTTATGTTTGTTCAGTTCTAGCTCTTTGCTTTTCATTTTTCTGCTAATTAATTCAACTAGTTTTGTTTCATTTTAGATGAATCTGATAGTTTTGTTTCATTTTAGATGAATCTGGCTCCTGTTTCAGAAACATTGACAACAGCTTCTAGTGATAATAAATCTGATCCTTCGACTGAAGGCACACCTGGCTCCTACATGCCACCTGCAATAATGAACCAGGGAGTGATAGGATCTGTACCAGCTCCCATGCAAGGTCACTTTCCACAATATTCACAGCCATGGTTTCCCGCAGGTCCAACTCAGATTCCAATACATCCAAGGTCTGCACTAGTTTCTTCTGCACCTTTACAAAACAACATAGCCCAAATATCTTCACCTTTCAATCCCTCAAGTATGCCTTCACTGTTTGGTCCTCAACCAGTTTTGGCATCAAGTTTTGGTCAAGTCCCTCAAAATCTTTCTGTCATTCCATCCAGACCACAACTAACCCATGTTTTACAGCAACCATACACGCATCAGGCACACCCTTTTGGTCAATTTGGCATTCCAAGAGATCTTCCCAGGTCAAGTTTACAGTTTACAACTGCTCTACCTACACCAACAGGGGCTCACCAAATTGTGAGACCAGTCATGAGCAGTTCAGCACCTCAAGGTGAACACATGTTGTCAATGGCTCCATCAACTGTTCCCTTTCAAAGACAGCCTGTGGCTTCACATCCCATGGTGGTGTCCGGAGCTCCACCTGTGAATATATCAGCCATACCCTTTGCAGTGACATCTTCAACACCACCTCTTTTGCAACATGGAAATGCAAATTCTGTTTCTGGAACTGTCCCAAATTTTGAGACAATGAAACCCCTTTCTCTAGCTGTACCAAGACCACAGCAACCCAATTCCAGTGACTTCACTTTTCAGCCTCGGGGGCCTCAAAAGTTAGCTTCTCAGCCAGGTATTCAACCTACACTACAGATTATGACACCCCCAAATGAAACAATGCAGGCACCTTTAACACCTCAGTCTCCATTGATCCGGCCATTAGTGCATAACCTGAATCATCCTGTTCAGGGTTTCCCGAGACCTCTGGTCAACCATCCAATAAGTCAACCAAGACCGAAAATGCCTATGAACTTTGCCGGAAGTCCCACTGCTCCTCCAGTTCCACTTAGACATCCAACATTTTCTGCTCCCAGTGTCATTTCACATTCTACAATGCCTCGAACACCTAGAAATTTTAATCCTGCTTATCCAATTGTCCATTCTGTTCGTCCATTTCCTCCCAGAGCAGGAAACCCAATGCACCATCAGCAAAATTATCCATCTGGAGCAACTCGCCCACAAAGATTTATGGCTCCGCATCAACATTTTGGTAACAATCCTGGTCGACCACATTCTGGAGCGCAGCAAACATATGATCCCTTCTCACCAACTTCAGTTTCTTTCAATCCACATATGGGTGGTGGTACAGCCAAAATGCAAAAGGAGAGTGATCCAGAATACGAGGACCTGATGTCCTCTGTGGGAGTTAAATGATTTACAAACAGGTGCACTTTTGTTTAAACTCAAAGATTTGGTAGTAAATCTGACTGTATTTTTCCAGTCCTTTAGATTCTTTTGCCCCGTCTTAGTGTATAACATGAGATAATTTATGATCTTCGCATTTTTCTACTAATTGTTGAGTGTATGTTAACATTCACTCTGTAGAGAATGAGAGACGCAGTACACCTTGAAAAATATTTTTTATGCAGCATGTTTCGGCTGTTATATGTACTATGAATTAGTTGAATACATTTATTACAATTACGACACAAGTAAATCATGATTCTTGCCTTCAATTTAGTACCAATGCATGGCTTCTTAAATTTCGTCTGCCAGTTACATGTCAGTGAAGTTGATACAATCCGTCAACAAATTGTGTCGATTCTTGAAATTTCATTTGTGGATGCATGTAAAATTTTAGCTCACATGGAATCTTATTTGGTGCAAGCAAGCAAATTTAGGTTCTTGAGAGGTTGAAACTCTTGAGCATTTAATGCGTAGAGGATTTCCATTATGGCCTCGTACAAATCCCTTTTGCCAGAAAATAAGTGACCCATTTAATGGGAAACTTTGAAATTCAAACAAGAAAATGTCTGATAAAGCCACATTTGATATACTTCAAATTTGGACATCCAAAAACAAGTTTAGTGCAGCAAAGTTCCACTCATGGTAAATTGGTTATATATACATGTGATCAGATACATACAGCAGCCGTTCAAATCATATTTAAACAGAAGGACCTGATCTGAGCACCCTCTCAAGTTTCTCAGCCTTTGCATAATCGTTGTCACTAAGAGGACCAGCAGGAAAAGGTGAGATTTCGACTATCAAGTGTGGTGTTGGGAGCTCGTCGAACAGAGCTCTAACATTGTTGCAACATACGCTTTCTCCATGAGCATTTTCCCTCCTTATTTGACAGCCCTAGAAAAAAAAATTATTTCGTTAATAGTTTTTTCACATTATTTCTGGAGACTAGAACAAGAAAAGATCAAAAAGGGTGTAAAGGATTTATTAGCAAAATAAGTTAAAATCTTTTTATTTTTTTCTATATTTAATGATTTCAGTAGCGCATACCAAACACAGAGAAATGATCGACTCTTGGGACACACTGAAAATACTATGAGGTGCTCGAAAATGGTCGAAATAGTTGAACAGGAGGATCACTATGATTAGAGCCCTTGGTAAATATACCAAAGACGATGAATTATAAGTATTACCTTGTGGGATGTGGCATCTCTAAAGTGATCATCATCCGACAGTAAAGAAGCGATGGACTTCAGAAGACGCCTCCCTTCGGTCTTGGAAGGGACCCTGTAGTTGCGCCTAAGGGTACCCTTTGTTGTTGGATGCCATTTGCTCACAAGTTTTCTTCTTTCGGCAGCATCCTTTTCTGTTAAACAGGATAATTTCCTACATGAGAATCCAAATCGAGTAGAAAGGAGCCTTGCTTAAACAAATCCACACATTTATGATCAATAAGCCTGTATTTAAAAAATTTGCATTCCCAATTTCACAGAAATGGAGCTAGAAGCAAATAACCTAGTAACACTTTGTCAAGGATAATCTGTAAGGCGAAATAGTGGCATTTGCTTACTGTCGTCAAAGATGAAACATTTCAATAGATACAATAGAACAATTATCAACCCACGATAATGGTAATATTTCCAACTGGTTCACAACTTGTGCATATACTAACTTGAACACATCGAGCAGAACTATTTCCTCGTTTCTTTTGCCATATTTTTTTTCCCCCCATCAAGGGCCATTTCAAAGTTAAACCAAACCAAAGAAATCAACCGAAAATTGCATGGACTGAAGTAATTTTGGAAGGGTTTGAGGCTTTGGATATGGCTTTTGGTAGAGCAGATGTGAAGAAGAATAACCATGTAAATTAAGTAGATTTGACATGACGATTACTAATTGCTGAGAGAGGGTTACCATTCCTGGAGACCATGGCTTTCCTCGGGCCACCTCTTGAATTTATGGCACAATAACTCTCATGACACGCATAAAAAATATTTACAATGTTAATCGATTTACCAACCCTATACCAGTTTTAATCTTCATGCTCTAATGCAATTCTCTTCCATGATGCAAACCAACAAGCAGGAAAAAATCAATTGTCTTTTCGTATGAAGAAAATACATGGGCTCATAAAACATAGATCAAAATTAGTGCCCTTTAAATCCTGTCAAGCATAAGTTTAGGAAACACATAATATCCAGGCTTGAAATCAGTCCTTTTCATGATTTTCCACAAGCAAAAAAAGTAGTAATTTGCAAGTACAGATTTTTTTAACAGAATTGGTACAAAAAAACCACTTCTTCCTGTGATTTGCTCTTGCAAAAATCTGTTTTTGACAACAGCCAATTACAAGAAGACAACCGTCTTTCTGTACAAAATTTGTAGAAAAAATTTATACTAATAGCATTGCTTGCAAAAAAATGCCCCAATTGTTTTTGGACTCAGCAGGAGGCGAGTCATACACACATCTTAGGGTCCATTAAAGCAATATACGATTGTTTATAGAAGCCTTTAAAGAAGATGCGACCTAGGCAAACAAAAATTCAGGTGCAGACTATAGAGAACAATAAGATAATATGTCAACGTAAAAGAAAATTTTCAACCTTGAGCCAATGTACCATGAAAAAGGGACTTAAAAGAGCTTGTAATTTATGCTCTACGCTCTTTCTACTAGCCTGCTATTACTCAACTTGTTTCAGTAAGATTGAGGCTGAAAAGTTGAGCATAGTTCATCAAGGAGAAAACATACACAAGTTAAAAGCACACGGTTCATCTTTCTTAGATTATATTCAATTTGACAAAGCTAAAAATCAAAAGTCATGATTTTTTGTAATTTTGAGGACATGGTTGGTATGCAATATTAAAGAGGATTAGTCACTACAATAAACAATCTTTTTCTTCCTGAAATACGGATTCATATCAAAATACTTTGATGAAACTCCTTGCCCCATATTCCCTCTCCAAACTTATGAAACTTTGAGGAAAATATGAGTACTGACATTAATAACATCAAATAAATAAATAATGAAACAGATTCATAAGATTTCAAGAAAAGACTGCGGACCCGGTCCACTCTGTAACTCCTCAATCCATCTAGAGAAACCAAAATCGTCAGCTCCACTCTCCATATCTACCACGAAAAATCAACAAAAAATGAAGGGGCACCATTAATCCACATAAGCATATCCAAGAACAAATTAAGAAAAATCTCGAATTTTAGTTCTACTAAAACATATGGGTACAGATAAAAAAACCTGAGACAATTGGGTTAGAAGGAGATCCAGCAAGACCAGCCTTCAAGAGAGCATAGAAAATGCAAATCCTGCCAGCCCACAAGACGGGGGTCTCGAGCAAAGTGGCTTTAGTAGATGTAACATTTTTGAGCGAACTCTTTCTAGTTTTAATGAACCTCCAATCAAGAGATTCAAGACTCGGCAAAAAAAGTGATTTTTGTAAGAAAATAGGAGATTTTTGGGTTGGATTCTTGGAATAACAGTAGCAGGGAGTGTGGGGATGGATCGGTGATGAAAAGATGGTGGTGGGCTGTAGAAGCATTGCTGAGAGGTTCACTTCAAAAAAATGGACTAAAAATTTTTCAGGGTTGTGTTTTGACTTTCTTTTACATTACAGCTCTCAGTGATGAAAAGATAGTGGTGGTCTTGATTATGAAAAGACTATATATTTTCATTTATGTGATTTGAGGGTGTATATATATATATATAAAGAAAAATATTTAAATAGATTGATGTTATGTTTAGCCCATGTTTAGTGTAGATTAAAATAAATTTTTGAATAATGTTATTTGTGTATTAAATAGTGTCCATCGAGAAGGCCTACTTCCGATATGTCATATTTTATTCGAAGCATGCCCATCTTCATTTGAGAGGATGGACATCTCGATGTACATGTAGCGTGATCCTAAATTTTCTAGTGAATTTTGAGAAATTTTGATAAAATATGTGATTAAAAAATAATGAATTCTATAAAAATATATGATTAAAATTAATTATTATCTTTTAATTTAGACTAAACAGGGGCTTAGGTGTAACATGTAGCCCTGAAAACAGTATGGTTTAAGGAAAAATATCAAGGAGTGCAAGGAAAGGAGAGTTCGTACGTGCGAGCGCGACCATTATGCTTCCAATTCAAAACTTGAGACCTTATCCACTTCAATAATTAATGGCCCATTTGGATTCTTCCTACACTGCCACTCCCTCAAATATAAGCATAATTCTGCTTAAATAATTTATTTTTGAAACGTTGCAAACCACCGCAATCTATAGTCAACGCTCGAGCACGACAACGTCTCTACAGTCTACACACTCGAACAAGAAAATGCCTCTATATTCAACACTCGAACAAGAAAAAGATTACAGTAAAAGAATTAAACTATTAACTAGTTTGACACACTTTGAGGTGTCAAAATCGAGGTCATTAATTTGAACAAGTATTTTTAAAAGTATCGGTAAAATTGTGTGCCATGTCCAAGTGTAAATAAAGTTGTCAATCATGGTGTAAGTGTAACAAAACTGTACTGTAAATAATAGTACGAACTAATAGCGAATTTGAAAATACTTTTTTCTTTTTCTCTATTTTGTTGCTAATTTAAAAGTTCTGTAGTCTAGTCAAAATGAAAAGCAAATAAAGAGAAACTCTAGTCTAGTCAAATAAAAGATGAAAGAAAAGTACTGTGGTCTGCAAACTTCGTTTATCTACAAAACCAAACTGAGGTCACTTAAATTTTTACGAATCGAACATCGCTTTGCCCAAATGGAGTTCCACAACCCGGGCACTTGCGAAGGCGAATCTCTAAATTCCTTTGGATGCACTGATAGCAAAATAGATGGTAGCACTTCGTTATTACAACCTGCCAAAATAGTTACCAAACCTGTGAAAACCATTACTACGATCAAAAATACCACGTGCAGATGCAGGCAGATATACCGCTGATTGCTTTTTATAGAAATCGAGACGTGGTATATTTGCCAACGAAACTTCTAAGTGAATATGGATAGCAGTCTGATTAATTAGCAATCAGAAAACATATAGCTGATTGCTTTTACAGAAATTTAGAAAATTATGAGTGAATATGGATAGCAGTCTGATTAATGAGCAATAACTCTTCATGGACACAAAGGGGCAGATGGAAGAGAAGAAAACTAGATGTGTAAACCAGACTTACGTAAACTGATATGTATAGATTTACCTCCTTTGGTCGATCAAAACACACCCCACACTTGAGAATAGCTTTGCAATTCTTGATTTCATCCTGTAGTTTCTGTATTGCAGCCTCCCCACTTTCAGAAGTCATCTCAGCGACAGCTCCGTTCAACTCCATGAATTCTTCATCGAGCTTCTTCCGTTCATTTCTGTTACACAATTATGTTAGGCATAAGAGTTTCTTTGTCAACACGCTGTATTACTTCAATGAATTTAGACATCTGTATAAGACCTATTCATCCTTCAACCACAAACTCCCACCACATTCAAATGCTAACTTAGGAAATTTACAAATTGTAAATTGTAATCTATTATACAGGTGGGGAGGATCTTTTAAAGTTCTATTACACGGGTTCAATAGCTCACAAAAGGCCAGAACTAACATTGGAGGCACCAATCACCTCCACCCCCAAACCAAAGGGAAAAGGTACCACTCCCAAAATGCAGCCTGGGCCTGGCCTCAGGGTGTGGGGGGTTAGCCCAGACCTGCAAAGCCTGATGTCAGAGAGTAACTAAATAGATATTTAATCCAGCAACAAAGTTCCTTTAGATCAAATTCAAGAGTCGAAGACGATGATAGTTACGCTTCAACACATATAACTCATGTGGTCCTGGGTAATAAAAATAACCAATCACTAAAACAGAACTAGTTTTGCCTCTCTACTGATTAAACTAAGGGATATGTTAGCACTGTCCAGACTCGGGTGCCTTGGCCAAACGAATTTCTAGTTTAAGTCCAGGCCAAGTTGGGATGGTAGACTGCCATCCCAATTCCTGATCACCCCCAATAATTAATAAAATAGGGCTCCAAATTATTAGGCAGAACAAACCAATCAAAAGCTCACCTTTCCCTGTCCAGTTCTATTTGAATATCATTCATTTTCCTCTGGATCTGCTCATATTCCTTCTCTGATGAAGATACAGCGGATTTCAGCATCTTATATTCCTTTTCAGCATCTGCTAATTCCCATTTTGCAGTTTCTATCTTTACTGCAAGGTGCCTGTCTTCTTGGACAGTACTTGATGCTTCCACCTGGTAAAGTTTCATCTGCAAGGCCATATCTTGATTGAAATAGGATAACCACAGCTATTATGATTGACTATCAGGAAGAGAACTTACCAGCTCTTCACTCTGGGCAATCCTCGACTTCAAAGATTCCAGCAATCCATTACCCTGTTCAAATTGCTTTTCTAAAGCCTGATTCTCAGCGAGTAATAAGTTCTGTAATTGTTTTGCTTTTACGCTCTCCGAAACCAGCTGTAATTAAATAAAGAAGAAAGACAAGATCAGAGACTATTGTGGCTCACTCAATTAACTAAGTGGATTGAAAAACAAGAAATCACTAAAGATGAGAAAAAAGGGAAGCCATCACAACCAAAACCTTGATATTATATTCATCTCTTTCAGTAACTTGCTGCAACAGGTGCTGGTTCTGCGTCTGCATATCTTCATAAGCTTGACCAATTGTCTGGATTTCATGAACAAACAATAAACAACCCAAGATATGCAAGGAAAGAGGAGAAAGAGCAAGAAGTAACAAATTTCACATATTGACCAGTATAGTACAAAAATGATTTCAAATATTCTATTAACGGACACCTCAATTTCAGAAATATACAATGCCGACTCCCTTTCTTTGATATTGATGACTTCCTTGAGCTCCAAAACGGCCCTGAATGTTAAAGATAGGGAACAATTTTAAGTACAAAATTCAACAAGAAAAATTCTCAATAAAGCAGATAGAAACTAGATGAGAAACTTAAAGCATGAACCTATCATGTGCTGCACCATCCTAAAAGCAGTACATCATCATTTAAGTTGTTCTGAGCGATGTTTTAGACATTTAGGTACGATTACAAATAAGGTAGGAAACTTGAATAGGATGTAATACATGCCGATCAAATATTTTGGACAACTGAAAAGTACTTCAGGGAACTGGGGAATGACCAAAGCATGCAAAAATAAGCAAATTGGGGTCAGAAAAGGTACCTGTCAGAAGCTTCTAATTCAGTCCTTAGTTCAGCTATTTCTGCTTCTGCAACAGAAAGCCTCTGCTGGTATGCAGCCTCAGCTTCATAAGCTGCTCTCACTCTCAATTCAAGACCATGTTCGTCTAGCGCATTTTTCAAAATTTCAGCTTGAGATTGAGCTCTTCGTTCTGATTCCCTAATTTCCATCACCCCTCTTCCTCGCAAAAAGTTGGAAACATAGTACGTTTAGATGGATAAATCTCTCTCTCAGACACACACATGAGAGAGAGAGAGAGAGAGCAAGCATCTGTGTACTTATTTAATATATGAATATACATAAATGTACACATACGTGCATGTGTGTATATTAACGTACATATTCAGGGGTATTCAAATGTCAATTTTTCAAAAAATGAAATACATACAAGACAACCTTCTTTCAGATAAGAGTGTACACATCATTAAGCCCCTGTTTGGCCCCCATTTTTGGAAATGAAAATGAGTGGAATAGTGTTCTTTTGAAAAATGAGTGGTTGAAAAAGAAGGAAAAGTTTTCGATTTACGTGTAATATTATTTTATGGAAGATTGTGTGGCTGAAAATATGAGAGAAAAATGAAATAGAATTTAATGGGGGCCAAACGGGGGCTAAATTTAACTGCTAACTGTAATTAATCAACTTCGTGAAAGGAATAGATAGCTTACCTATTATCATATATTTGTTGACCCACCATGTCCAAATAAAACTCAAGCTCTTGTTGTTCCTTCTGCATTTTCTCAATCTGCAGAAGTTCAACTATCACAATCACCAACATGATTTCGCTCCGCTCAAGAATTTCGAGCAATATGCTTTCTGAGTTGAATTTCAAGAATATAGAAAACCATGGCTATGGAAGCAAAACATACAATTTCATTTAAGGACTTGATCTCCCCGATCTGTTGAGCACATATATCAGCCAAGGCCTTCAGATCAACAGTCTGCCAGAGCAAAACTCAGGAATCATCTAATGAAGTTGACCAGAAAATCAGTTACTTAGAAAGAAAAATAAAGAAATATAGACCATCAAGATAAATAAATATATATAGGCAGAAAACATAGTAGAACTGTAAATATTCATAAAGATCTAAGTATTCTGAGAATGGTCTATATTTTAAGTGGGTAGACAAGATAAGAAAATAAAATTAACACCATGATCGGGAAAATACAATTAGTTCCAAAAGTTTATTTACAAGAACTACAAGGCACGGGAATCCTAGATAGATCACCACTCAACAGCTTCTTGACAAGTATGCGATGATAATTACTCAGTTGAACAATTGAATTTGTTGAAAGCAGTTCCAGAACAGCTCATGAACCTACACTACCACTCTTTGACAAGTTTTGGCAAACACAGTAAAATGACTTCCTTTAACTTTTCCTCTTATTACTATTTCTTTGGGGGTCCATGGTAAATATGTTTCTGAAGGTAGGCTAAATATTACTG